CATGAAAATTTATTATTTCCCTTCCAAAATCAGTACTATATAAAGGCACTTGCTACCTTTACCAGAAATACCAGAACTTTCACAGAAGGCACTGTAGAGAAACTTACTTCCATTACTCACTCCTTATTTTCTTAAAATAGCAGTCTGACATGTTAGCAGCAATCAGTGTGCTTTGGTGTTAGAGACTGTACGTTCATAGGCTTCTTCTGTGAACATTCAGTACAGTTTAATATGACACACTACTTATTTATTTTTATATGTGCATATGTATCTGTAGACTAATAAACCAGAAATTTCCATCTAAATGCTCAAGACCTTTTTTCTAGGCCAGACAGAGGGATAAGAAAAAAGACAGTTCTTTTGCAGGTGGTGTGCTTACCACCAGTACAACAGTTCATTTCTAAACCAAATAATCTACAGAAATCACTGTGATCCAACAGTGAGGCAAGCATTAGCTCTGTGCAAGCAATACAAAGGAAAGCTGACCTTAACTTACTTCACCATCTCTCTGCTATTTTTTCTCCTTGACAATGCCCAATTTTTATCACTAATACAACTTTAATTCTGTGTTTACCTTCTTCTGTATTATTAAAAAAAATACTTAGCAGCATGACTCATGCAATATGACACAATTCTGTCATATATGAGAAGGCACTGACATACAAGACAAGTCTGATTAAATATGAAAGAATAAAGGAAAAACACAAACACACTTGATATTAAAAAAAAACAACTAAATCCTCAAATTAGTCTGTCAGCTAGGATGCATTAAATTACAAGATATGGTGGACACAGGTAAGAAATGTCCTAGAGACAATCTGAACAATTAAAAAGCACTAATCTCATCAACCTTGATAGAACCTTCCCACTGGAAAACAGTTAGTTGACATAGTGTTTGGTGATAATGTTAACTGAAATCTTGCTAGAAAAGAAAAACCCAACTAATCCTCTTCACTAAAAGGGCCATTTTGTTCATATGTAAAAGCCCCTACCTGAGTTCATGTGGCATTTACAGTTCTGACTTTGGTCCTATGAAAACACCTCTTGGAAACTATACTCTGCATTACACCAAAAGCTGCTGATTTCTTACATTTTAATTTATTTGCAGTGCAGTCGTTCCCAGTCTCACACTTGAGCCTTTCATTTTCACTGCCATATTCAGCACAGTCAGTAAGCATGCACTTTGTCAAAACCCTCAGAAGTTACAAGACCATCTGTAAAATTTAGGCTGGAATTGTTTCCAGTAGAATGAAAGGTGGTATTTCAGATTTTTATCTATCCTAACTTAAGCAAACACATACACACCATCATTTTAACTATATATGCCTTTGAACTACAGAATTACTAACTGCAGAAAAAAGTAAACAGCCCTGACCTATTGGATTTGAGTTATTATTAGTAGGATGTCTGCTATGTCCCAGCACTCCCAAGACTGAGAACCAGAAAGATTACTTTACAGAGAAAACATGCAAGTCAGAAGGGCTGTATGCTGTAGGTAACACTTTTTAACACTGATGTAGTGTGAATGCACTTTGTTACAAATTCATCTAGTACATGCTGTACCTATTGAGTAGAACCAAGAAAAAATTACTGGGATATTTGGATGTTGCACAAAACAATGGAGGTCTAAAAATAAAAGTCTTTTATGACCAGGTCTCTCCTATTGCCTGAGACTGTCAAGATTATCAAAACCGTATTTTTCAGCAGGTTCTGTAGCTAAAGAAGGAGGGAGAAAACACACACTCAAGAAGGGAAAGAACTAGTAAAGCCTCTGTTTGTGTTTCTTACTGCTAGCATTCCAGCACACTTAATTTAGCTTTTCTCCATCATACCCATTCTGACAGTGAGAAAAAGAGGCATCACATGGTGTTGCTGGTACCAAGATAGGCTCCTGTCAACTACTTTGTCACATACCAGGTACACAACAGTAGCTTTCACTCCACAGGAATAAGGAAAGCAGAAACCACAAGGTCTTGTTCACCTGAAAATGGAAGGCTTATCAGAAAACTTTTATTAAATAACTGCTACAGCAGAGGAAGGATATGACTGAGGCTGTAGTGATCCTATATGCTTTAAAGACACAGAGCACACTTCCTATAATGGACGACGTGCACAATTACAGGGCACTCACACAGACAACAAATTTCCAGCTAGCTGTAAATGACGACTTACATCATCATGTCTAATGTTGAAGCATGTTCTTTGTCAAGTAATTGAGTGTTGCTGGTTTCTATTACAAGGTTGACTACAAATAATGCAGAATGAAAGATGTGAAATTGTATAGATTCCACAATAGTTTGTACCCAGTCATCTATACATTTACAAAGTCTGTACATAAAGGCCAAAGGGACAGGGTATCCCTATGCTCCAGCTAACCAGTTTTTGATATGGAAATGCTGAAATAGTTTAAATTAGCCAGCTGGCAATCAGGTAGCTGAACAATTGGATGTGCAGTGAAGCAGTTCTTTGGAATGGTACCTGTGAGTCCTTTGGTCCTTCAAGCTGTCCATGAGCCAACAGTGTGTCCTGGTGGCACATTGGGAAGAGCATTGCCAGCAGGTTGAGGAAGGTGATCCTGCTGCTCTGCTCAGCCCTTGTGAGGCCACATCTGGACTTCTGTGTCCATTTCTGGGTTCCTCAATAGAAGGGAATTATGGAGCCCCTGGAGCAGGTCCAGTGGAGGGTTAAAAACATGATTAATGTATGTGCATAATAAAGACATTTTACATCATTGCTCTATGCCTCAGAAAATGGAAGAGAAAATCTTCCCTGTAGATTAAATACATAAGCAAGCAGTAACAAATAATCCTATGTTCCAAACTCACTCTTTGGTTTAGTCAGATAGAGAAATTATACATTTTAAAAGTTACAACTACTTAAACCAAAATAAAACCCCTACACAGACACTCTTCTTTAAGCAAAGGTGCACTGGTTTTGGTTTATGTATGTTCTATGTCAACTTATAGATAACAATTAGTAAGCTCCCTCAAATTAAGTGCATTCACAAAACCTATGGGCTAACCTGATTTGCTTACACTGCTTGTAACATTACTCATATAAGTAACTGGTTCAACTCCATAGATCATGTTCTTTATCCACAGAATTTAAAAACAAAAAATTTTTGTTTTTAACAAAAGAAGCTCTATCCACATATCTAAAAAGTACAATTAATTTTCTTAAGAAAATGAGCTGAAATCCTGAAACGGTGACTTCTTTCAATGACTTAAAGACTGTCATTATTAGAGAGATATAAACCCTGCAATTATGCATTCATTTCTTCCTTATTTCAACTAACAGTAAGTGGCATTGCCTGTAAGACCAAACAGCGCCTAAATCCACACAAGGAGTTCACCTTAATGAACACAATGCTGCACTGGCTTCTTACTAAGTCCTTACCATGTGGACTTTCATGAACCCATTTTGTCTTACAAATGCTGTATTTTGAAGAGCTCAGCTATTTGCTCATACCATCTCACCACAGTCTAGTCAAGGTCAATGATCTGCAACATACCAGACATAAGGCTGTTCCCATAAATGGGACTGCACAGGAACTCTAGAAAAGCAGTCCAACTGTACCAATCTTCCAGGTGTGAACAATATATATATATATATATATAAGCAATCTCTCTTGCATGGCTTTGTGTGGAAAAAAGGGCTTATGTAATTGCCTGTGGTGAATGTGTTCTTTAGTGATGGAAGAGGAATTACATGTATGCAATTACATACATGGCAAGGTGTTCTTTCCTACATAAAAATTAAAAATAAAAACACACAAAATAATTGCATGTGATAATTTGTTGTTGTAGCTTAAAAACAGAAAAAAAAAAAAAAAGACAACGAAGTGACAAGAACAGGCACACAATTTTAACTGGCAGATATAAGAATACCCCATGTAACACAGCTACTGGCAACATTGCCTATAATACACTAAGGGAGATTGTGGTCAACACAACAACTTACATAGAACAAAACAATTTGCTGCTGTTGAAATTCTGTGATAGCAACCTTCATGATATTGACACAAAATGGGTTTACATTGTGATCCATCGGGAAAACACATTTTCTTTAATGCTGACAAAAACAAAGTCTGAATAAAACTTTATATGATGTCTTGATTCTTAAATTAAAACAGAAAATCATAGTTACTTACAGAAAGTGTTAAATCACAGCAAAGGGCTAATTATACCATACTAACTTCCTTTTGTCTAGTATAAAAGGACATTTTTTTACTTTGCCTGGCTGAGTGTAATAGCCTATGAATTATGAGATCAAAGCAGCAAACTGTATGTTTTCTAAAGTAAGAGTTTCCTTCACCAAGTTTTACACTTACTACAGCTGAAAGAGCTGTGTGAAGGGATCAGCACTAAACCCAAAGGACAGGCTGTGCACAGCAAGAAAGAGAGCAACTCCCTCGTGCTTTTTGCAGGTCACTACCAAGGACCATGTTAGCAGATCCACACCAGACCCTTAACAGGCAGTTCTGCTGCTACCAGTAATTAGCTTGGACAGCTCTGGCTCCAGGAGTAGCAGCAAGGCTACACCATAATGAGCTCAGCTGGGATTAGCAGGACAGGGCAGGGAACCAAGAGAGCTGAGGCATTCTGCATTGCGTATGTATCACAGAGATCAAACAAGGATGGCTGGCTAGGTTATCCCCTCACCACCTCATTCCAAAAATGAAGCACGGCAGTGTGTAAAATACAGGCTAATGAAGAGCGACACCTCCAACAGATGAGAGCCACATTAATTAACACAATCCCTAGATCATGGAATACAGTTTCTGTTAGTGCTAGCAAACTTGTAACTTGTCACTGATTTAAGGGGGAGAGAGAAGGGGAAAAAAAAAAAAAAAAGGAGCTGATGTTTTCCTTTTCTCTGTTTGGTAGATGTTTTTATAATGGAATTTTGCAAGGAATTCCTCTTGTATGGCCTGTAAAGCACTTCAGAAAAAAAACGCAGTATGTTTCTTTACTTAAACACCATTTAAGAAACAAACTCACTTCTCAATCAATAGCTTTTTTTGCTCCCTCTTGAAAAAAGCCAGTTCATTCCATATCACATGAGGATCCTCTTGACAAAGCTGATAGGAACCTGTATTATGGTATCTGCTTTTACTATTTTAAAGCCTGTTTACGAGTTAAAAAAGGTTTTTTGTTTTCAAATATCTAAATGTTTTAGGAGAAACAGAATAAAAGGACCCCCGCTTTCAGAAAATACACATTTTCAAGTACAGCATGCAGTGAATCTGAATTTTTTATGAAGTATACATTCTGAGGCATGAAACCTTAACTGTGGTAATAAAGAGAAGTTCAATTACATAGTTTCAGACAGATATTGTGCTAGTACGACATCATGCCTCCCAGATGACATGTGGCAAAATAATGTCACCCACATTCTGACAACATTGCTTTAAATACTGGTATGTAAAGAAAGAAGAAGTTAAAATCATCACATAATCTCTTGAAAATAAAGGGAGAGTCTTCATCTCCTCTAATGCCCCACCAAGCCAATCTGGAAGTTGTAGCTGATGCCCATTCTAAATCACACTGCTGTTATGCAGTTTCATAAAGGAATTCGCTATCTATGTATTAATAAAAAGCATATTGACTTTAGAAGTACAGAAAAATAAAATAAAAATGTTTAACAGTTTTTCTGTGATTATAATATTTTTAGGTATTTTAATAATGCCAAAGATAAAAGCTGTATTAAAAAATCCTTTATGAAATCAATTTAAAACTGCAATCTAAATTCCTACAGGGCATAGAAATAAACTCCTAGACAATGTGGTAACCTCCTAAGGCCTCCATCATCTTTGCAGTCACGTACATCAGTGCAAGTTGTATGTACACTGACAGGTGGATTAGGTCACATCAGCTGCCATCTCAATAGCAGATATTAATCTATGAAGAATATGGGGAATGGGGTCCTCCATCACTTACAAAGGATCAGAAATGCCACATAAGCACCTGATACTGAGTTCTTAATGCACAATTTACATTACAGCAGCACTATACAGCTTTTTGAGATACCAAAATAACAGCCTTATTGTTACAGACTGCTTTTGTGTCTTGTCTCCTTTGTTGAAGTGCATTAAAAATGAAAACCAAACCTCCTTTAGTGTGGCTTCATACAAATCTAATCTGATGATGAAAATTATTGAAACCTTGTTATTTTCAGCTCATCTTAAATAGAGATGAAAAAGTTAGATGACTAAGTGAAGACTGGCCCATCCCTACTTTTCCCAAATACATTCATTATAACACAAGCTAGTCTCATTTACTTTTAGCAGAAACAGAATTCACCTTTGTCTCTCCTTCCCTTTTATTTTTCTTTTTTTTTTCCAACTGTCAGAACCAGAACACCCAGTGCTTCACTGTATATAAAGTTTAAGATTTTAATGTCTTTATCTAGTTCAATTTTTTTTATCTTGTTAGCCTCGGCCTCTCAGTGGATATGAAAGCCTGTCTAGGTATAGATATAGAATTAAATAATACCGTTGAATTTAGTAACTATCATCCTCAAGTTACTTCTAGATTGCACTAAATTTAAAGCAGTGAGCTAGAAGAAAAAAAATCCGTATTTTTCCAAAAAAAACTTAAACCTTTTCATTATTATTTAACTAAATATATTTGCCATTATGCTTGGGTATTTCAAAAAATGTTCCTGTGCTACCACCAATGCCTGCAGCAAATTTGTACTTTACCATTGTTTTCATCCACACTTTTTTCTTTCCCTTTTGAAAGACAAACTGCTCCTAAGTAAATGCTAGTATTTCAAAGCAATGCAAATCTACTAAGATAGGCCATAGCATTACTTATATATGAGGAACAGTTAATCATTCACAGTGGGATGCTTTATGTCACCCCAGACTCAGAACAGCTACCAGTTTTGCAGCATTTTCTGTGACTCTCTTTTTGTTCAGAGAGAGTTATAAAGTTAGTGTCAAGATCAGTCAGTATTGTTCTAACTGCAAAAACAATTATTTTTAGTAAAACACAAGTGTTTACTGAGCTGTTAGGTGAATGCTAAAGCCCTGCTATAGCCACACAGAAATTCCTTTCTTGAAACAGGTCCTGAAAAACAGCAGTGCTTGAAAACTGAACTAATAAGAAATGTTTTCATACCTCTAATTGCATCTGTTTACCAAAAATTCTGTCTGCTAAGGACTAAAAAAAAGAGAATTTTTGCATAAAATTTTCACTGTTCTGTATAGAGCCTAAGGGAGAATGATATACAGAATGTTCATTATGCAAATTTTATGTGGTAAAGTCTTTCCTCTTTCCATTAATAAAGATATATTACTGCATTTTTTGGGTAAAATTATCAGAAATAATTTAGTTTTAAATAATTTAACAGATGAAAACACCCTGCTTTCATGCACATATTATTTGATTTTTCCCCATATAAGGAAGAAGATTTTAGCTTCAGATAATACATGAATTACTAAATGTTAGAGAGGGTATTATTTCTATATTTTAATGAATGAAACTATATTTGAAAAACTGTTTGAAACATAATGAGCAACTGTTGTGTTACAGAAAATTAAAAACATGCAGTCAACAAAATAAAAGAGGAATTAGACAAACATTAGGAAGCAGTCCTAGCTGACCTTTGTCCAGTACTCAGACTCTCAATGGGAACCTAAATAAAATAAGTCAAGGTGTCAGCTCAACATATTTCCTCTTGGTTTCAGCTCTAATATTTATCATATAGGGGTAAGTCATGTATTCTGCTTTAACAAAGGAAAGTCTTGATCACCACACAGTAGCTTCTTCCTTCAAATTACATTCTCTTTTGAATACCTATGTAATACTTCTATTAAGATTTCTTGTGTAAGGAAACTGTTTTTAATGAGCTATGTAACTTACCTGCTATCACCCTCTTCCCACTGCTTTAATTGCTCTTTTAGTGCTCTGTAGTTGGTCTGTAACATCTGCAGCCTCTCTTCATGTTTTCCATAGGCTGCTCTTAGCTCATAAGATTCTTGAGACTGTATGAAACCAGAAAAACAAAATCAGGGTAGGACAAAATGTAAGGGACTGTTACACAGATCACAAGAAACAAAAGCTGTCTTTTAGCAACTACTATGAGACTCAGAAGTCTAAATAGAAAGATCAGGACTCACAGTCCTTGAGGTCAAAGTTTTCTTATTACTACTTTGGAAAATTCCGCTGATTTGGCAATTCACTTAAATATTATTTTTGTGCTGCTGAAAGTTTTAAAAATTTACTACCAAAATGTCAGCTTTTATCTGGTGAATGCATAGGCCTAATACATTTTAAAACACATAGACTGAAAAAGGATTGTTGGCACTGTTTTTTCATTAAAACCACTTTTTTTCTTTTTTTTCCCAATGCAAAACTGATCTATGTATTTTCAAAGGAAATACTGACCGCATGAAAAAAACTTACACTTAAATGGCTTCAGGATTTCCTCACATATTGTTTCTGTAAATACATATATACCTGAAACACCTAGACTTTGTTGTCTAGTAACGCAGCAAACAAGAAATAAAACCATTTTTTACAATGGCTTTTATATAATCAAAACCATACAAAAAAATGTACAGAACAGAGAGTAAAATATACCTTGATTTATATAACAGCATAACATCATGTGACCTTAAAAACAGACTTTCCTAAAGGACAATACAGTGCTATGGAAAAAAACCCCAAAAAACAAAACAAAACAAAAAACCCCCAAAGAAGAAACATTTCACAGCATAAAGCAAGTCAGACCCTGGCACACACTAGTAAAGAATTCACCAGCAAAGAATTCATTATGCTGTAGCAAAATTTGCAATCAGAGCTTCATTTTCAGTTCAGTGGGAGCTCTGCTTGTAGAGCAACTACAAAACTAAATAAATCAAAGTACTTTATTTGCAAGTATTTAATTCTTATATGTAAGGAGGACTATTAAGCATAAGTCAATGAATTAGACAGAACAATAGTCAGAGCTGCAAACAATAAAAATTGAATACCACTATACAAACATGGCAAGTTCCAGAGTACTGCTAACTACAAAGTACCCATACTAAGCTTGGCTTATCAAGTGCAGCCCAGCTTTCATGATGCACAGAGTTGAAAGATAATAGCTACAGTTTCAAATGGTACTATATACAAAATTCCAGAAATTTTCTGGAAGTGACTCAGGAAACAGAAAGGTTTAGGAACAGAATCAAGTACAATGTGACCCTGCCATTAAATACTTTCCCAAAGTGGTGGTGGTAGGTTTTTTCTGAAACAACCTCTCAACCAAATACATTTATAAATTTTGTATTGTTTAGAAAGTACTTTTGACTCATTTTAAGTGACTCATGTAAATACCACAATGATATTAAAAACAACCACATAAATAGCAATATGAATGTTAGACTAAGAACGCAGAGACCATTACCAAGCTTTTCAAGAGGAAATAGCAATAATAAGATAATAATTGTAAGAATACAATTATACATATTGTGTTTTCAAGAGAAGTTCATGAAACAACTGTTCTGAGATTGTTTGATATTGCTAGCAAAAACTAGTCAAGTCTGGCGGGGTACTGGAAAATAATGTCTTCAATATAAATCCTCATAAGCTTATTAGTGTCAATGCCCTTTCAGAGATGCAACCAACTGTAGAATTTGGCCTTTCCTATTTATGAATCTACATTTTTCATTATTGCTTACCTGTTCTATTATCCATTCTGTTACAGTTACTGCCTTCTCTTATCACTTGCTCTGCTCTTGCAGAAATAGAAATTAGACAATTAACTGCCCTAATCACTCTATTGAATTAAGCACTTTAGAACTTAAAATATTCACTGAAATTTCCATAATCTGTTAAGATTCATCGCTGTCTGAATTAAGCTATATTTCATAACTAAACTGTCTTCTATAGTTTTGTATATATTTACAGAAAAGGGACAGAACAACCATTGCTAACAGTGCTGGACCTCCAGATTATTCTCCAGCTGTCCCCTGTCACCCACGGTACTACTTCCCATGCAATAATGAAAAACAGTAACAGAAAGTTCAATCTGCAAGAGGAAAAACCCCACTGTCTATTAAAAAAAAAAAAAAAGCCTTTTTTTTTTTCTTTTTTTCTTTTTTTTTTCCCTTTTGGAAGGCCGCTCAGACAGGATAAAAGATTATAACCACTCATTCAAATTTTTGTTGAAATTGACCTGATGTTACAGCAAAAAGGGAATTTAAAAAATTACACTGATTCAATTATTTGACCATGCTTAGGCTTACAAGAACTGAAGCACCTAATAGTTTCAAAAATAGTTTTCCCACTAACAGTTATGTGGATAAACTGCAATATTCATTCAGTATTTGAACACTATACATGGAACAGGACTACAGATGAAATCATAAGTAAATATGAGTGTGATCTTGCTCACACAAACAAGTATTAAGGTGGCCCTAACGACTGATAAGTTTTATTTACGTCCAAAAATTTTAGAACCTAAAAAGGATGAGAAAACTCAAAGGGAATAGTTCCTCTTGTGTTTTGAGACCTTTCCAGTTAAAGCCAGGATTATCTCCTTTAGGCTACACCAGGCATCACAGCTCTAGGAGCAGTACAGGAGAACATGAACGTATTCTCAGTTTGTATCAAATACCTATTTCTCAACAACCAAGCTCTTACCCTCTTCTTAAAGACCAATAGTAAATTGAATTACTTATGCTTTGGACCAATCTAAGTAGCAGCTTAATAATTTGTTATAATAAAACCCAGAATATACTCTTATTTTTTTTGATGTTCTCTTCTGTAATCAAGGGTGCAGTCATACTCTGTTACTTTTCAGTATGTCCAGAAACAAATCCAATCCTGTATAAAAACTCTGAATTTAAATGATCACCCCATTTATACTAGTAACAAAGAGCCAACTTTTCTTGTTCAGAAATTAGGCAGCTGAGAGAACAGGAAAAACCTGTCAATGGGACATTGACCTTTTCTGCTCCTTTGCAATACTGACTGGGACATTCCTGTTCCTGAACACTGCAAAAATAGAGCTGTTCTTTTTTTTTGTTCTTTTTTTTTTTTTTTTTTCACAATTGTTACCAATTTTTTGACCAATATATGAAGTCACCATTTCACATTCCAGACATGCATCATCAGAGTGTGTATTGTCAGAGCAACCATTTCTCTCAGCAAGAAAATTTCAAGTAGTCACATAGACAACACTTCTTTTGAGGAGGCAATTATGCAAGGACCAGTTTTTGAAAATGTTGATCAAATCCATTTTTCCTAGTTACAAACAATGCCTGAGAGAAGGCTAGCATTAAGAAATCACAAAATAGCAATAGAAATGTTCTGACATTAACTTTTTTACAGCTTAGTCCACTGCCATGCTGGCACTAGCCTCACTGAAATATGAATGTAGTGCCACAACATGTTTACTATGATGACCTGGACCTCTACAGCTTCTTTTCAACCCATTAAAGCATTTTGCAAAAGAAGCCAAGTAGATTTTCAAGAGAAAATGCAGGAAGTTCGTGTATTCACTTTCAAGGAGAGATTTAGCCCTTAAAGACATCATGGATTTCTGTGATAGAGATCCCACACCTGTAACATCATAAAGCTGCACAGATTTTTAAATTATACTTGAAGATTAAATAGAAGATAAGTAAAGGCAGTATGGTGAATGGTACAAATTATTATATGAGGTTATTCAGAGAGAATTCTTTCTCTTCTGTATCTGCCTTCCTTCACTCCTCTTTCCAGAAGAAATGTGGAGCTCTCTTATCATTTAACCATACACACTGATGTGTGTTTTGCCTCCAAGAGCAGAACAGCTGGAGCCTACAGTTCCAGAATAATCTGTAGCATCAGTATCAGGCAGGCCAAGTAAGAGTAATGAACAGGAAACCTCCCAAAGGCCAGTTCTCAGGTTTAGCTGGTGGGATGTGCCTTAGATTTTTCAACAGAGAGAAAGAAACGAAACAAAATTAATTTTCTGTCTCCCAGGAACAAACTGGAAGGCTGGATCTGAAGTCTAAATAACTTCTCCTGTTCATGTACTCTACATGTGCTAAGACAGTGCATTAAACTCTCCCAAGCATACAGGTGGATAAACTATGGCATTTGTGCTGAAATATACTTCCCACTTACAGTTTTTCTAAAATTCACTTACCACTATGGTTGGTAGAGCTCCCAAATTTTTTCACTTACCTAACTTTTATCACAGGATGCTCAATATAAACTGTTCTCCTTTAGGCTACACATACTTGAAAATATCTTTCAAATTCCATAGCTGAACAAGGATAAGCAAAAAAAACAAAAAAAAAACGAACAAAAAAAACCAAAAAAAAATGAGGAGGAGTGGGAAGAAAAGGAGGAGAGGGAAGAAGAGGACAAATTTCAAGTTTTTAAGAAAATATGACTCAGGATTTGAGTTTTGCATTCAGAGGTGCCAATTTTAAACCAATAGTTTCTTCAAAAGGTACTGTATTTCTGTAGCAAAATACCAAACCAACAAAAATACAGCTACAAAAATCTGTGAAACGGGGACAAAATGAGAAATTGTAAAACAAGCTCAATTAAGATTTTCTACAAAGGCTTGGAGTGAGGGAGATTGTTATTTTTTTTTAAATAGCATTTATTAGACCAGCAACTAACTGAGCCATAACTTACACAGTTTCCAGGGGTCAATCTTTTTCAAGTAATTGACCTCAGCATTTTAAAGTATGGCTTTATTGTACAGAAAAAAATTATTTTTACTTTCGGTGCTTCTACTTTTTGATTTATTTCATATGAACACGTCAATTTCTCGGAATATATATCCTCAAACACAAACTTTGAAAATGTATTTAACAAGTATGTGTTACTGATGACAGCTCAATTAGGTTTCTGCAGGACTTCAAGATTACTCACACAGTAAAGCAAGTAGGTAAACTAATGAAGAGTGCTCTCTGATCCAAAGAGACTTACAGTCCATAAAAACATGTGTCTAATTCTTAAAATGTCTGTTTGTTTTGGTATATCTTTATCTATGCAAGCTTATAGCTAGCAGGCTTTTTATTTTTATTTAATGTTCACCTTTAGCTGTAGTGTCTTCTCTAAGTTTTCAATCTTCCTTTCAGCTATTTTAAGCTTCTTTAGTTCCTCTGACTCTCTAAAAGAGCTCTTTGGGGACAGAGACCTTGAACGTTTCACAGGTGGTTTCTGGAGAATAAAACAAGGACATGGTTGAACTAGTTGGAACACCGGATTATGAAAGACATGCAGAATTAAAGAAGAAGTAATTTTGAATACTAATAATGAATTATAAAAAAAAAAAAAAAAAAAATCTGCACGGAATACCAGAGAAATAACAAGCAGAATTACCACAGCGCTACCACTAAAGGTTTCTCTGTGACTCGTTAATGAGAATATTCATTTACATTTACATTGTTTCTTTCAGAATAATGATGTCCCATTAGGGAAGACTAAAGGGTTATAGACTCAGAAATGCAAGAAACCTCATTACAAAGGAGGGGATAGAGGCTGGTCTAATTGCTCTATAAGGGTCCAAGGTTACACTTGATAGGACAACCAGAAACAAGAGGGAAAGGATTTTTTTCCCTTTGAAATAGTTTAACACACTGTGAAGTTGAAGGAACAATATGCTTGAGGAATATAAATACAACAGACAGTAGATCTTATACCATAATGACCATATGGTCATTAACTATAATGTGACTAACTAGAGACAAGAATATGTTTATATTATGTACAGCTTCATATAGCAATCTGGAAAAGAGTATGTGAAAGTAACACTTAAACTGGGCAGCTTTCTTGCTCATTCTATGTCATATGTCCTTATGGCAGAGAAAGAAAGGCCTCATAAAATTAGACTTTCAGATTTTCAGAATAACTTTGTTTAAGAACAGTGAAATACTAACACACACTTAATGCCAATAAGGTAAAATACTGTTGTGCCAACACATAAAGTCAAACAGAAACTTAAGGTAAATTGTGATTACTCTTGTTGCATTATGCCACTTTCTCTGGGAAATAACTGATGTACAATAAAAGGAATGAAGGATAAATTCTTCTTTGATACTATATATATATCAGTATTTCCACTAGTCCATTAAATTAAACTAATCTTTAGTATCTTATTTAGCAACTGACATTTTTTTCTTTGACCACTACCTTCCAGTATGAAATATGTACAAGTCATCATGCACCACATTTTCATTTTAAATAGTATGGGTTTCCATAAAGGAGAAAAAAAAAAATCTATCAAGAAATATCAAAGAACAATAGTTTATATTTATATTTTTGAATGTAAACATTTCCAATGTGATTTTGTCATTTGATTTCAGGATTCTTTTGCTTATGACACACAACTGAAAGAGACATAAGAATGCCCAACAAACAACCAAGCAAGATTTTTTTTTAAAAAACCGTGTTACACCCTCACAAAAAAGCCCCCAACCAAAGCCAAAGCCAAAGCCAAAGCCAAAGCCAAAGCCAAAGCCAAAGCCAAAGCCAAAGCCAAAGCCAAAGCCAAAGCCAAAACCCAATCCAAACTAACCAAACAGAAAAAAGACCACAAAACAACAAACAACCCAAAAACAAAAAAAAAACAACCAAACAAAAACCCAACCCAAAACACCCAACCCCTGCCGAAAACAAAAATGCCCCAAAACCAAACCGAAATAAAACAACCAAAACAAAACCACCAAAACACAACTCTTCTATCTTCTACGTTCCTTAATCATTATATGACCATACTATGCATTATTTTTCAAGAATTGTTTTCTAGGTAAATTTTTTGTTTGTATACAAAAAATCTGTTTCTCTGAAATCAGAAACAGAAGGTCAAAGCACTCTGCTTGCTGCCAGAGTGAATGACAACAAAGGAAAAGGAGTGGATCAACCAGCACCAGACTGTTAGGAATAAATAGGTAGCGAAAAACTGAGAAGGAACAGAGGTAAGAGAAAAAGAAAATACAGAAAAAGAGAAAATTCATTGTCTTGCTAGTCTAGTCACAGTTGATGAGATACAATGAGTACATAAGATTTTTTTTTAATATATGTATGTATAGATATAGATAGATAGATAGATAGATAGATAGATAGATAGATAGATAGATAGATAGATAGATGGATAGATAGATTATACACACATACAGAGTTTATCTACAGTTACCTAGGATTGTGCTAGAGCTAAGGTATATGAAAAAAGAGAGAAAACTTTTAACTAGTTATGGATACGGAGATGATTCCCTGTGACAATGGATGGGATTGGTGATACATGTTAAGAAAATTCTTTTGCTTTCACCTTTTTAGTGATCAGACTAAAGGTCTGTGGAGAAAGGGCGCTGGGTCTGGGCTTCACAGCTGCACATTGGTAGCTTGAGCCCAATCTTTGCTAAGGAGGTAAACAGTTCTATCAAGACAAAAGAGACTGTGTAGTAAAATACACTGTAATTGGATTGCCTGGGGCTGCTGCAAAACTCAGTTTGAAAGATGGCATCTGTAATACTCTTCTCACAAGTGCAAACCTTACTGCTCCTGCTGCCGCAAAATATAAACATTGCATTTTTAATTCAATCCTCACATTCTACAGAAAAATTTTGACATACCTGTACTAAATATATACAGAAATGTGTACAATGTTGCAAAATGTAATGTTTCAAAGATTGTCTACATATTTAGGAGTGAAAAAACTCTCCAACTTTATCAGTGAAGAGTGTTAATCCAAGTTAGTAAAGGAATCCAGATAAGATTTTTCATTGAATGTTCCTATAACATTTTTATCAAAGACTAAACCAAATAGCAGAAAACCAAATATAAGCAGTTTCTAATATATAATAGATATGAAATTTTGTGATAGAAGATTTAACATAAAGAAATAGCAGGTAAATGGATGGGACACGAGCAGAATAAGAAAACATGCCTATTTCTAAACAGCCTTCTGTTGCCAAGGTGCATGTCTGCACCATGAAAGACACCATGGGATGAAACTGCAAATAGCCATGTACTTGAATTCAACAGGTTTTCTGTTGAATAAAATGCCAAAACAAGCCAAATAAAACATGCAAACAAACAAAACCTCAAAACAACCAACCAATAAAAAAGCCCAACCAAAGAAACCTCAAAACCAAACCAAAGTAGGGAAGTCAGAACTCCTCCTATAATGTCTAAAGAGTACTTTTTCTCCACAGGCATGATATCAGTGACTGCCATGATACAGCTCTGAGGACAGTGGGAAGAAATCTTAATGTTTTTATCAGTTGAAGAAACATCGTTGAGGCTGAACCCAAGACTGCCCAGATACAGGTGGGGTTTTAAATGAAAATGGCAAATTCTTTCTTGATTCACTATGTTTCAACAGGAACTTTACCAGTACTGCAAGTAACACAACTTTACAGTATCTTGACACAACAGACTTAGAAGAATGATATAGAATGTATATGAATAAAAGGCAATTCTAACTCCTATGCACTGTACCATGGGAAAGCTTAGCTACAAGAAAACCACAAAACCCTACTGATTTACTCAGCAGACATATGAAAGTCATTTCAATCACTACCAGAAATATATATTGCTCTCAAAGTTACAAAGTTTAAGCTCTAAAAAGAGCTCTAGAAAGGTTCAAGCCACTGACTCCTAAGACTTCATACACAACAGCACTCACCACTCTACCACTTTTCACATAGACTGGACTATGATGGTTACAATTGCCTCTAAATACACACAGTATCGCAAAACAGGACATCACAATCACATTTAACAAAGCTTTTAATCACCTTTTGAAGAATAAGTTGCTGCTATTACTCTGTATGACTGTAGGCAAGGGATGTGGATTTCTGCAATTCATAAAGAAACCAACACAAGGCTACAGATGTATATATGCTGTTTCATATATACAAACATAGCTGGAAGCATGCAGTCATGTGGCCACAGATCCCAATTTATCACCGTAGTGCCAAGTTTCCACTTGTACCAGCCTCCTCTTTTTAACACCTTTCCAACTGTTCTTTCATTCAAAGCCTTAGAAACCTTTTTAGAGCAGTAAGTCATCAAAGCAGTGTCATTCTGATCAGAAGTGATTCCATGCTTATTTGTTCTTTGTGTCCTGGGAATGTACTTAAGGGCGAATGAAGGGCAGCACAACAGCCTTTGTAAAGTCAAAAGGATCATCTTTTTAAAACAAACATTGAATATCCAACATTCTCTTCCTGTCAAATCATCTGCTAGTAACTTCTGACGGTTATAATTTTGTCATAAAAGGTTGAAAAACAAGGAAATTAAAAGATATTTCACTGAAAGGGAAAAAGGGTAAAGGGTAAGGTACTACCACAGCAATACTACCTTCTCTATTTTAGAAAATCCACATCTCACTTTCCACAATTTCACTTACTGTGTTGTCTAAATGCAAAGCTTCCCAATTGAGTTCATGAAAGTTCTTAATAGAGACTTGTGTGCCCTTTTGAAAAAGTGAACATATCAAACTGCCCTGACTATTGAAAGAGCATGACTCAGATCTACATATCAAAACAAGAAGAGATTTTCTACAGTAGCCTCTAAAATTTGTATTTAGTTTTACTCAAGGCAGTGTAATTGCTTTATTTTGACACAGTTCACAACAAACACAGCAGTCTCATTTACTTTCCCCTGAGGAAACAGAAAAAGACATTGTGGGGGGCCAACTTTGGCAAAAGATCAAACACCCACTCAATTGCTCTCCCACTTTCCTTCCTTGCTAAGACAGAAAGAGAGAATGGGATGATAAACCCACAGTCTATCACTCAGTATCTTGGACTGACTCAACTTGAAGACGATCAATTTAAGTTATTGCCAGTTAAAATATATTTAGGTTGTAAGAAATAAAGAAAAAAAAAAATTAATCAACACTTTCTTCCCTACCCAGAAGTAGCTCCCAGCTTCCCAGGCACAACTTCATTCCATCACTCTTGACTTTTTTATTACCTGCTATGCAGGTGGAAGGTTTGCAATCAATAACAGCTCCTATTGGGCCATTCTTTTCTCCTCACACTTTTCTCCTGCTCCAGCACAGGGCATCTCCACAGGCTGGAGTCCTTCAGGATAAACCTATTCCAGGGCAGGTGTTCCATGGACCACAGGTCAGATAAGAGAGGAAACTGTCCCAGCATTGACTCCCCTCCACAAGCTGTGGCTTCCATGAGCAAATATCCACTTTCTCTGGGCTCCTCCACGGGCTATATTATAGACATCTGCCCCACAGTTATCCTCTCCAAGGGCTGCAGAGAAACACCTGTTTCCAGCACGTGAAGCAACATCTCCCTCTTCTTCTTCCTGACCTTCATGTTTACCAGACTGTTTCTCATCTTCTATTCTGCATTCCACACTGCCTCTGTAGCATTTAGTTTTTTTCTTAAGCACATTTTCACAGAAATGCCCACTACACGCTCTTTAAGAAATGTTCTAAAGTGTGTCTTTTCCCAAAACTAACATACAGTACAGGTTATTAAGAAAGAACAAGCCATACATTTTTCAAAGAAAATGTTATAAGATACCTTATTTGGATAAACTAGAAGCTTTCTTGGGAAGTGGACATGATGATCCACCCTTGTACCTTATTTATACCATTCAGAATCACGTTCACCTTTGCAACCTTGTTAAAGAGATCGCTTGTAAGTTTCCCATAATCTATACAGTCACAATAAAAAACAGATGAGGAGGAAACTGAACCCACTGAAAAGCATCATGATCTCAGCTAATTAAATAGAATCATTTAAATCACAGAAATTTTTGAAGATGTCATTTATTTACTATAGCTTATGGTTGATGTTGTTATTGTTATTTAATGCCTAAATCAAAGAGTGAGACTCCATGAATGAGGCAATCCATATAAAAAGTTGAAAGTATAAATTTCAAACAACATTGTTGCCATTCTTTCTAGGAAAAAATACTGTAACCCACTATAAAAGACAAGAATTCAGAAAAAAATCTCTTTTATTTAAAAATTCGTAATAGTAACCATTTCTATTTCTCTCACTTTCCTTACACTGAAAGATGGTCATTCTGATAAACACGACAAAATATCTGTTAAATATTCATTTTAGCAAACCTACAAAGAATTTATCCTTCAAATAGTTCATTTAATTAAGAATCCCTTATTCATTATTTAATAAGGTAAAACCTTCTACTCCCAACAGCTATTTTAACAAGTCTTTGGCAGATAACACAGGAACTATTCAAACAAGCTTCCAGAATTATAAGCAGCGTCAACAGATATTAAAATTATTATCTGGACCCTTGAGCAAAAACGTTTGGCTTCACCAGCCTGACTTACACACAAATACACCAGACAATAAAACTACCCTACCTCATGCTTTCTTCCAGTCCTTATATTGTTGCTTTACAGGGTATCTGTAGTGTACAAATTATGCTCTGCTAGGTTAAGATTCGCTTTATTCAATTTTTTCTGTAAAAGCTCCATTTCAGATTCTTGCATAGTAACGTAGCACTCTAGCTCACTTAAAGAAGGCTGTTGAAATACCTAGAAAATGACAGTACAGGTATATTACATTGGTAACAAAAAAATCAGAAACATAACACAACATTTACATAAAATTGCCTATTAACAGTATTACAGAGACATGTAAAAGCTGCAAATAATTCTGCTTTCATAAATGACTTTATTTCATAAATAATCAAAACCAGATCTCAAAATATTAAGGAAACATTTTCAGACCATCACCGAATTTTCTAAATCCAAATTTACATTCTTAACAATAGTTGTTTTATGCAGACTTTTCTTCTGCAGTAACTTATTCTACTTATTAGACAGTATTTTCTATGTGACATGCTGTTAAATTTCTTGACAAAATATTGCACCTTCTGGACTTGTTTCTGGTGAAACTTCAAGTTGTATGTATCACTGCCCTAACAAAAACAACCTTAACTGCATATTCTGTAACTAGACAAATGGTTAATTAACTGCCTGAGAAAAGTACTTCTTAAAGTAAATCTACAGCTTGTAGCCATTACATCCTTAAACACAGCACAAGTGTGGTGGTCAAACTGAAGACTTAGAGAAAAACATAGATTCTAGGTCACAGAACCTGTGCTCAAGGTTGGTACTTTATTTTGTTACACTGCTGTATACCATGACCTTTCCTAGCTATCAATCCAAGTGCAGCAATTACTTGGCACAACACAAGGCTGCCACACTTGGCCTAGTTACCAAACCTGCTCAGAGAGGACATGTTTCAGTGGTAGCAGTACTCTAAGTTATATCCCTGATATCCAGTAGCAGACTCATGTATGCATGACCAAGATGCATGACAATGATGATATAATTCCCACATGGTCAATGCATCCAGGTAGCTGGAAGTTAGCACCTCAGTGCCATTGCTGGAGAAGGAATTATGTAAACTGTCTGCCTAATTGATTACATAATTAAAAGGGCTGGTTAGATTAAAAAGCCAATGGAAGTGGTTTGAGCTGACTTTTTACTTCACTGATGAGGGGGAAACTCATGGAATTCCATTGCCAGAGGTGTTCAAACAGCTTTGACAAACAGCTGGCAAGTAGTAAAGGCTTTAATCAACAAACATTATCCAGAAGATACGTTCTTAAGACTAACTAGCAGTTTTATTTTATCCCTTATTAACAAGGTCCTGACAACATCACTTGCTTGCAACTGTTTGAGCATATTCTTAAGACAAATACTAATTTCAATAGAGAAGATAAAATTTGGTACAATTATCAGGTGGCACTATCATCTCAAATACTGGCATTCCCCACATAAAATAAGTCAGGTATACTGACAAAAATTAGAAAAAAGCAGTGTAAAAAAAGGTTAAGTTAATAAATCTCCAAATTCATGCTAATCAAGAAATGAGGTTGTCCAAAGCTGAGTAAAATCAAACAAGCAAACACCTTAGTAAGCTACTAATACTAAGTATTTGTCGGAAACAGACAAATGGACATAGCCATTATATTAATGCAGAATATGCTTTTCATAAAGCACAAGATAACCTCACAATTTCAACCAATAAATTACAAATTAAAGATATTGAGCACTTGTTTTAGAAAAAACACAATTCTTCATACAGTAAGTGCAAGAAATATGTCAGAGAGTAGAAGTTGCCCATGTTTTTGCTGACTTCCTTAAATACATTCTGTTCCTCATTTTGCATGGTTTAGGCCATATGTAGTTGCAAACAGATGTCATTACCACCTATGATCAGTAAAAGGCCTGTTTATAACCATTAGCTCATTAACACATGGGAAAAAAAAAAAGAAAACAGGAAAATGAGGCACAGAGAAGCCATGCAATCAAAAGAGTGCTTTAAAGAAAACTGGACTTCATGTTTGTTTGAACAAAACCTGAGCAGTACACAGAAAGGGAAAAATCCAGCAAAACCTAGAGGACAGAAATAGTGTCAGTATGTAAGGGAAATGTAGTCATACCCAAGCTCTGGAACTGATTTTCTAACTTGAACTATATTCTTTCTTTTTACAAAAGAGAAATACACCTACCAATTCAACACACACATCTTACTGATTTCTCAGTTGCATGTAAAAAAAGAGCTCTATATGGAACACAAGCTTTAGAACTATAACAGTAACTCAAAATAGAGTCAACAAATTCAATCTGTTACAATTTAAAATCACATTACTGTTACAATAAAAAGTCTACACCTGTGAAGTGCTCATAGAATTATTTAAGTTTAAAAGGACCTTTAATATCCTCAAGATCAACTGCTGCTGCTGCTGACTTTTCAGCCACAAGAATTACAGAAATTTCACTAATGATTAACTTCATATTGTATCACTACTTTTTATTTTCTTCTTTCAAAAATGGAATACCGAATGCTTTAAAACATAACTCGATTTATGAGTCACAAACTACACCAAAACCTGTTCCTCTATGTCATGAAGGTTCTGCTCTTGACTTCAATAGGACCAATACATGAACAGTATTATTCTTCATTTGTTTTGAGGTTATTTTCCTACTGCTTTCTTCTTCCAAAAGAGATCCCTAGAAATCACTATAATATAATATAATATAATATAATATAATATAATATAATATAATATAATATAATATAATATAATATAATATAATATAATATAATATAATACAATATAATACAATATAATGTAATAATATCATATTATTTCAAATAAAATACCATAAAGGCACAATTTATAATAAAACCCTTACAGTCTCTGTCCACATGGCATATATGTCCATATGGCTATACATACATATTTCTTGAAAAACTAAATTAAGCAAATCAAGTCTTAAATCTTAACTTGCACCTCCAAAATGCTTATGCTTTTTCCTCAGATTATTCAGTAGATCACTGTTACCAAAACATCCTTACCTGTAGAATTTGGGCCTACGATACCCTGAAAACCTGCTCAATTTTTTAAGTGTATCTGTGAAATTTTTTCAGTTTCAGAAATTCTAAGAAAACAGTTCACCAGGACTCCGGTTCAATAGGAGTTTGGCATCATTTTCTGTTAAAGTTAATCCTTTAATAACTGAGAAATATTATTTTAAATTTCCTAGACTAAAAATTTAGTTTATTCAAATATCAAGAGAATGTTGAACATTAATTTTTTAGACACGAAAGTAGACCTTCCCAACACGGAAAGCTGGGTGAAATTTCTTTCTCTGGTCTTTTGTTTCGGATTCATGTCAATTTCATTTTATACATCCAGACTTCTGTGCTCTGGCTATCTTTGGTTAAAAGCAAAAAAAATTATTAAACACAAATTATTTAGGGAAAATATTTGATTACTATGAGAACAACCAACTTCTTCTGTATAAAAGCATGACTCTATGAACAAACCAGAGTTTGAAGATCTATGCATGAAAGAAGAGCAGCAATTTTAAAAGAACATGTAGTGACAGGACGAGGGACAATGACTTCAAGTTGAAAGAGGGGAGATTTGAATCAGATATTATGATGAAATTCTTTACTGTGAGGGTGTTGAGGCACTGGAACAGGCTGCCCAGAGAAGTTGTGGATGCCCCACCTCTGGCAGTGTTCAAGGCCAGGTTGGATGGGGCTCTGAGCAACTTGGTCTGGTGGGAGGTGACCCTGCCCATGGATATGGGAGAGTGAAACTAGATATCTTTAGATTCTTTCCAAGACCATTCTATTGTCTGTGAAAAGGCCACTCTGTGATTCTATGAAATGCAATTCAATTGGATCCTCATAAAGAGTTGTGACCTTTTCTTGGCTTTTTACTTTTTACATGAAAACTTTAATTTGTAATCCAAGAACTAAGGGAAGTATTAAAAATAGTAAGGCCAAAATGGAAAATAATTTGGACTACAATGCAACACTGATTTTTTCCTAACACTATTAGAAAAAAAAAAGCAGAATAGTGAGTATCAAGACTACATAAATCATACAACATCCAAGGTCTGTATGAAGGATGGAGTCCAGTCTCATGGTAAAGATCAGAAACTTGTAATCCAGAAAATTGAAGTCTGAGAGGCAGCACCAAGTTCTTCAACAACTTCTGCCTCAGAATTATCATTGTAGATTTTTCACATTAGGAACTGAAACAGTAACTCACAGAGTAACTCAACAGAGAATTCCATGAAGTTCACTTCCTAAAGTTTATTCTGAATCCTGTCTAAAACCAAAATTTCTGTGAGACAATCATTTCAGTATACACATAATGGTGAACCTCTTCAGAGTCTATCCATCTACATGCTGAGTACAGCAAATAAAAAGCTTTTTCTCAGGTTTAAGCATGATTAAAGTCCAATGGTATTACAAGGTCTAGTTTAACAGAGTAATGGTTTCCTCTTTCATACAGCAGTATCAGTTTATATCAGATGCTATTTTACAAAAGATCATGTGTCTTTTGTGATACTGAAACTTACCTTACAGGCAAAAAATATTTTCCAAATACATGTCAAAACTTGTATTTATATTTTAAACAACAAATATAATCAAGAAATACTTATTTCTATCAGAAATCTCACTACAGGTATCTCACTACACTTACATGCCTTTTCACCGTAAGACTCCACTGATGGTATTCTGGATGCATTAATCAAGCTGAAGCATAAGCATCATCTTTGCCACAAACCTGTAGTATCTGGGGAGCCATCCACTGTACTTTTGGAAGGGAATTCGACACCACAGTTGTCACCTATCCAAAATAGTGCAAACGATATGGAAAACATACAGCTATAGTACATCATATTCTGCTTGATTTTCTAAACCACCAAAAGAGAGCAGGTACCAAAGGAATGGATATCTAAGAGCTTCAGGACTAATTAGACAGCCTAATGTATAATGTCCTTAGGTGTGCTGTGCTCAGCTTTCTCAGCACAAAGCTGTGCTAACATCAACTGCACTGTACCAACACTGTGGGCTAGGAGAGGACAAAAAGAGCCTGGACAGTCCTTCTGTGAGTTAGATGCAAGCTCAACTACATTTCAAACTGATCAGAAGGCACTCTATGGCTTAGTAAAGGCTAAAGTCTCAGCAACAGAGAACAGTTTACACATATAGCTCA